CCAGATAAACCAGAAACGTTGATGTAAGAGTTGAACACTCCAGATTAACCAGAAACGTTGATGTAAGAGTTGACCACTCCAGATTAGCCAGAAACGTTGATGTAAGAGTTGACCACTCCAGATTAACCACAAACGTTGATGTAAGAGTTGAACACTCCAGATTAACCACAAACGTTGATGTAAGAGTTGACCACTCCAGATTAGCCACAAACGTTGATGTAGAAGTTGAAAGCTCCAGATTAGCCACGAATTGTGATGAAGAAATTCAACTCTCCATATCTGTTACACTTAGATCTTTCTTCACTAAAGTCCTAATGAAGGTTATTTACAAGTTTATGTTTGAACTGAATAATCCTCAAGTGAGAGTAAATAAAAGGTTTAACTGAGTTTTTTAATGTTTGTATGATCCGTGATCACTTTCTGCATACTATACAGTTTCAAATATAAAGCCCAAACTTCCAAACAAGCTGGAGTCGAAGCGTTCTAAAGTTATTCCATCCTAAACAACAACTCAACATCATCTGTTCAACGAGCTACTGGGGTTGAGATTGGGTACCTTCGGTGCTGAGAGGTATTTGATTTGGACCATTTGTCATCAGAGATTCTTTCTCTCCAAGGGGATTGCTACAGCGAGAAACTAGAACAACGCCCGTCGACATCTCTACGTCTGTCTTACTTTCTCTGACTGCCCTTCCTTGGTGAGCACGCTTTCTTCCTAACCCTCGACTGCTGTTTTTGGGAAACATGCTGTTCTCTACTTGAAGCTGGTTATTGAAGTCTTTGGTAGCAGCACAGACGAAAGCTCTGGCGAAACTCTTCTTGAAGTTCTCACTCAGGAAAGCATAGAGGATTGGGTTAACAGCAGAGTTGGCGTAGGACAACCAACCAGCCACTAGGAAGACCAGCATCCCCACGCTACTACCGCTGTTGTCTGGGGGCAGGAAGGACAAGTAGACCTGAGTTACCCAGTATGGCAACCAGCAGATCACGTACACCGTGATAACCGTTAGAACCAAGTAAGTGACCTTTCGGTGTGACCGTTTTTTTTCTTTGGACTTTTTCTTGGGGCCAATGGTTTTTAACCTACAGATGACCAGGAAATAGAAGAGCAAAACGAGGATTAAGGGGATGGCGAAGCCCATTGTAAAGGAGTACAAGACAAAGGCTTTCTGCCCGCCAGCCGTATAATCACTTTCCGGCCACAAGATGGTACAGGTAGTGGCTCTGCTGGACTGCATTATATTAGCATAGATGTAGATGGGGATCATAAGAAGAGCAGATAGCGTCCAGGCTGAGAAACAGACCAGCTTGGCGATAAAGCTCGTCCGGTAGCGTGGAGAAGAGATCGGGTGGCACACGGCCACGTAACGGTCAGCGCTCATTACGGCCAACAGAAGACTACTAGTAAATTGATTAATTGACGTGCTGGTCATGTAAAGTTTGCACATGACCAGTCCAAATGGCCAGTATCCGTAGGCCATAGTTGCAATAAGGAAGGGTAGTCCGATTAAAAACATCTGGTCAGCAAGAGCCAGGTTTAGTAGGTACATATTGGTCACCGTCTGCATTTTAGAGTAGCGTACAACGACGTAGATGACCAAAGAGTTCCCACCCAGACCAACCAGACACACGACTCCATACAAAATCTTTGTTAGCTCGAGAACAAAGCCTGGCAACACCTCTGGAGGACTTGTTTCGTTGGTCAGAGAGCTGTTAATATCATTAAACAAAATCACAGTTTCGTTCAGGCCTTCCGTTTCGTTTGACATTATTAACTTGCTGAAACACAGTAACCTGCGAGTTTCTAACACATTAGAAGCACTGCGACAATAAATAGTGATAACAGATTAATCTGTTGGATTTTTAACTACGCAAGCACTATGATTCTTCTGTGGTAACTTGAAAATGAAACATTACTTCTTTCACGATCTGTCAAAAATAGTTGTTAACTTCTTAAAGATTTTATTAGATGTGCGCGCGTGTGAGTGTGTCTTATCAAAACTTTTTCATTTATACAAACTATAAATAACACGTGTATATCAATTTTGACAGAGGAAGGGTTCAGGATGCAAGAGATATGATTAAATTGAAACAGCAACACATTTCATTGGTCAGCGCACTTTCTACCAGGCTGATATCAATTCTCGTTGGTCAGACTGAGTTGGAGATGTGATCTCATTGGTCGACTATCAGTGACTATTCAGCTCCTATTGGGTATTAGTAAGTTTGGGGTGAAGATTAACACATGATTATCTCCAGGAGTTCAAACTTTGCTTCAAGATCTAAAACAAAAAAAAACAACAACACAAAATCAATCCATTTGGTTTTATACACACACAAAAAGACACAAGAACAACTGACAGAAAATCCAAACATATGCTTTTATTCAGGTGAACATGTAAACAGATAACACATACCTTACTCAAACACATGACTAACAAAATATAATACACCTACCTACCTTACTCAAACACATGACTAACAAAATATAATACACCTACCTACCTTACTCAAACACATGACTAACAAAATAGAATACCCCTACCTACCTTACTCAAACACATGACTAACAAAATAGAATACACCTACCTACCTTTTTCAAACACAAGATTAACAAAATAGAATACACCTACCTACCTTACTCAAACACATGACTAACAAAATAGAAAACCTACCTACCTTACTCAAACACATGACTAACAAAATAGAATACACTTACCTACCTTACTCAAACACATGACTAACAAAATAGAATACACCTACCTACCTTATTCAAACACATGACTAACAAAATAGAAAAACCTACCTACCTTACTCAAACACACACGACTAACAAAATAGAATACACCTACCTACCTTACTCAAACACAAGATTAACAAAATAGAATACACCTACCTACCTTATTCAAACACATGACTAACAAAATAGAAAAACCTACCTACCTTACTCAAACACACGACTAACAAAATGGAATACACCTACCTACCTTACTCAAACATACGACTAACAAAACAAAGACCAGCTCAGTTATCGAAACATGCTACCAAGAAATGGACACGTACTTTTTACATTAACAAAAGCAATGTTAAACGCCATATTTTTGCTATCAAAAATATTGAAAATAAAACCAAACATGGTGTTAATGTAGAAGTGTTAATGAACCAATCTTCCAACATGGTGGTATTAATGTAAAAGTGTTAATGAACCAATATTCTAACATGGTGGTATTAATGTAGAAGTGTTAATGAACCAATCTTCTAACATGGTGGTATTAATGTAGAAGTGTTAATGAACCAATATTCTAACATGGTGGTATTAATGTAGAAGTGTTAATGAACCAATCTTCTAACATGGTGGTATTAATGTAGAAGTGTTAATGAACCAATCTTCTAACATGGTGGTATTAATGTAGAAGTGTTAATGAACCAATCTTCTAACATGGTGGTGTTAATGAACCAATCTTCTAACACGGTGGTATTAATGTAGAAGTGTTAATGAACCAATCTTACGAATATAAAGTTATTTTATCAAAATAATTCTGAAAATTTTCTGGGAGAATCATTTTGGATGAACAACGCCTGTTTAAACCTTGTTTTTTTAAATTCTAATTTAATATTTAATATACTTCTAATCGGTCAGATTACACGAAAAAGAAACACTACTATTACTAAAGTGTATTTTATCCAGATAACTTGTAAGAAAACTAAATTTGGAACTATGGATTTACCTTTCAAGAGAATAGAAACTAAATAATAACAGCCACAAACTGTTGTTTAGGTACGATATGAACGCTGCATTGGTCCAGCCTCTTCACGACACGAGCTTCGATCGTTTCGTATTTCTGACTTTTTACGTTTATCACGTCCGCGTCACTCGCATTTTGTAAAAGAAGTGGATTTTACGAAGCTCGAGTTTAACGCGGAGTGTGGTAATCGTGTACTGTGGTTCATCACCGATTATAACGAATACAAGCAATGTTCTCGGGAACGATTGACGAGAACACTTGTTACGCTTAATTGCGACGATAGAGGGCACTTTAATAAAACTCTAGCTATTCTGTGTAGAGTAATAAAGCTTAGACTTTCGTATAGTTAAAATAATAAAACAAAACAAGTCTTCTTCTTCTTTAAGTCTTTCTTTCTTTATTTTTTTACAGGAGGTTAATTTCTTTAGAAATGGTGCCAAAAAAGAAGAGTAACGAGTCTTGTTAAAGTGGATGTACTTGAAACACAAGTATATTCTTGTGCCCAGGAAGATTAGACAACCAGCATTACAGTTAACTAATAAACCGTCTGAAACAATGAAACAATCCAATAACAATATCGCATATTATGTACTATATATATATATATATTGTGTGCTATATATCTGTGTGAACAGATCATACAACCATTAAAACACTGTAACTAAACATATCGTGAACAAAGTATATAACCATTAAAACACTGTAACTAAACATACCGTGTAAACTGAGTACAGAACCGTTAAAACACTGTAACCAAACACACCGTGTGAACACAGTAGACAACCATTAAAACACTGTAACTAAATATACCGTGAACAAAGTATATAACCATTAAAACACTGTAACTAAATATACCGTGTGAACACAGTAGACAACCGTTAAAACACTGTAACCAAACACACCGTGTGAACACAGTAGACAACCATTAAAACACTGTAACCAAACATACCGTGTGAACAGAGTTCACAACTGTTTAAACACTGTAACCAAACACACCGTGTGAACACAGTAGACAACCATTAAAACACTGTAACCAAACACACCGTGTGAACACAGTAGACAACCATTAAAACACTGTAACTAAACATACCGTGTAAACTGAGTACACAACCGTTAAAACACTGTAACTAAACATACCGTGAACAAAGTATATAACCATTAAAACACTGTAACTAAATATACCGTGTGAACAGAGTACACAACCGTTTAAACACTGTAACTAAATATACCGTGTGAACAGAGTTCACAACCGTTTAAACACTGTAACTAAATATACCGTGTGAACACAGTAGACAACCATTAAAACACTGTAACTAAACAACCCTAAAGAAAAGGGGAGGGTACGATTAAGTGCTATCCTCGAGCTTATCTTAACAGCAGTTTCATAGTAAGTAATCCCATTGTTTCATAGTAAGTAATCCCATTGTTTCATGGTAAGTAATCCCATTGTTTCATGGTAAGTAATCACATTGTTTCATGGTAAGTAATCCCATTGTTTCATGGTAAGTAATCACATTGTTTCATGGTAAGTAATCCCATTGTTTCATGGTAAGTAATCCCATTGAGCACCAACATTTTGCAGCAACTGTTTGAAAAGAAATTTTAGTAGACAGTTTTGATTGTACTCATAAATTTGGTTGATAACGTCTCTTTTAAGACAGTCTTAATGAACAGAGATTCTACATCAAAACAGGCACAATATATATTACTTTATTAACTCATTTAAAGAGAGAACACAATGTTTCACTCTATACTTATTGTGTGTAAATATATTGAAGTATTTCACTAAAACCGGCAAGTTCGTGGAAGTAATTTCCTATGTTTGAGACATTAGGCCTATCAAGACCACCTTCTTTGTCAACTGCAGGAAACTTGATAGGGTTTCTGTTCGACTTCTTTTTACACAAATAAAGACGACGAGTCTAAGGCTGTCGAATGAAGCCTCACAAATGTCCACTTTATACCGTTTTTTTGAATTTGTTTAAATGAAGCAAAATTATTGATTTACGTTTTGTAAACAAAACGTTTACAGGACATGTAACATAGAAACTATTACATTATTTAGTGAATAGATTGCTCTTTCCGAGTATCATGTTCAGATAATCTTACAGAAAATAACTAGAGCAACCTATATTGGTTAAGCTGTACAATAACATCTAATGGATTATTATAAATCACAACCATATAAAATTTCGTCCTCTTATTTGTAAATACTAAATATAAACAGAACGTCTATTATTTGGATATACGATTACAGATAATAATCAAATTCCTTATCCAAAATTATTGCTAAGGAAATTGATGTAACTTCAAATTTATAAACTATATGTTTTGCAATGATTCTTGGATTACGTTTCAATCAGATAGATTTTTCTCTTGCAAGTAAATATATCAGCTTCTGTTTATTCCTATTGGTCAGCAACTGAATGAAGTTGCTATATTTTCATCTTAAGATATACAAACAGATGATAAAGTAAAGTAAAATCAAAAGGCCACAACGAAATATTGTGTACATCGCTAGCCACAAATCTTACCTGCTTTTCGAGAGTAGACGATTAACAATCTTAAAAAGGTTGGGAATAGCAAACTAATCAAATGAGTTATAAGTCATTGAAAACTGGACTGATGAATTTCTAGATGAGTTATAGTCACTGACGACCGGACTGGTATACTATCTAGACGAATTATAAGTAACTGACGACCTGACTGGTATACTATCTAGACGAGTTATAAGTCACTGACTACCGGACTGGTATACTATCTAGACGAGTTATAAGTCACTGACAACTGGACTGGTATACTGTCTAGACGAGTTATAAGTCACTGATAACAGGACTGGTATACTGTCTAGACGAGTTATAAGTCACTGACAACCTGACTGGTATACTATCTAGACGAGTTATAAGTCACTGACAACTGGACTGGTATACTAGTAATTAATAACTAATATATTTTATTAAAGTTTAATATGTGAATGTTGATTCTACAATGTGTACCCTAATAATGATTAATGTTAAGTTTACAACTGATACATTTAGGACTAAGCGTTAAGGAAAAAGGTGGGGAGTTAACGTCAGTAAAACAGGATAGTACAGCTTCTGCTTATCTTTTATCAACAAATAAGAACTAACTTTTGTGATGTCGTGCGATATGAACAGGAAGAGCGTCCATGTATGATTAATGTCCCAATAGAGCAGCTAATGAACTTTTAATCTTCGTTAAATAGTCTACACAGCAAATGTTTTAATCAACTGTTAAAGAACGGACGTTTCAGGTTTGACAAAAACGTAATCATTTCGTACAATGGGAAGTGTGTTACAGACACTCATGTTACCAGATGTTCTACAACTTTATCTGCTGTGTGGAAACAATGGAAAAGGTCAACGTATTCTTATCACATCCCTCCATGTGTGTAAAATCAAGTTAGCGAAACTCACACGAAGAATGAAGACCATTCTCGAACCAACTATTCTGAAAACATCTTATTGTCGAATAAAACTACATGATATGTTACTACCGCCAATCTTTCAAAAAAA